CAAATTGCTGATGCAAATTAGTCGATGAGACATGGGAGATCAGTCTGAGTGGGAGGAAGAACATCTGACCTGTGCTTTGACTGCCGACTAAATATCAAGGTCCGTCACGTAAAGTGTGTCAGGCTGTATTAAAGGAGCCACAAAGCCAACTGGCAGAGCATCTGTCTCGTCCTCATCTTCTTTATCTTAAGACGCAAAATGATTCATAACAATTTTTAAACCATAAGCAGCTCCAAAGGAGAAGAATGAAAACCCTCTACAACATCGCTTCTGATCTTCCCTCCTTTCTCGTCGCCAACGTCACGCAAGCAAACTAAGACTTCGCTCCATGTCCACACATCAAGGAGATCTCTCCCACTGTCACGTCCCCGGGAAACACACACCTGACATTTAGCCCCAGGCTGTCCCAGCTCGCCTCAGGAGACAAGGGCATCTCGGCTGAGTTTAGCGAGCTAAAACACAGACAGTTAGCAAATTAACTCTCATGTCTTTGTTTCAATAATTCAGCAGCGAGAGCGGCGGCAGGCCAAGGAAGGAAGCGATGGAGGATGAGGCAGGGCCTCTAACTGCATCTGCTTTCACATACATGCCTTTTAGAAACAATAAATACTGATTTTAAAGCGCGACGGGATAAAAGCACGATATCTTCTTTCCTAAATATGAAACATTTACACCCAGCATATAAACACAGTACGGCTGTGCCCGGTGTGGATGCAGTGATGTATCACTTAAAGGTGAATGAGAGGGTGGATGCCCGTTTGAGACATCCGTGATAGAGTGAAGCTGTTTCACTAAAGCTTATTCCCGCTGCGCAGCGGCTGTGTATATTTTTTGGGCTCAGTTATGGCATTTCCTTTGTCAAAACAAATCAGCGTCACCGAGCATGTAAACAGCAGTGGCTTTAGCCATGGGTTAATCCACACATTGTTAGACAAACACAAGCACACATGAAGCCTCCGCTCTCCCTCTCGGCTCTGTGATGTTACCTGCTGACAGAATCACGTGGAACTTTTCTCAGAGTTTAATAGTAAAACTGGATTTTTAACCCACAAAAGCCGTTTTTAGGTGAAAGAGGCAGACGAGAGCGATTGACTACCATCCTCAGCAGGTAATGAGGACGATAACATGATGCAGCTTCAAAAAGGAGCTTTTGTTTTGTAACCGATGTATGTTTAGGAACACACAGTGCCTCGTTTGCTCGATCGAGGTTTTTTCCCGTGTGCTAATAAAAGGCGCGCACTTCTCATCTGTGTGCTCTGTTGCCAAACTGATTAACAACTTCAGGCACGTAGCTTCAATATTTATACTCTCTTCTTTATTTCAAGTGAGAAAACTAGCAAATTTGTGCGGATGCACCAGAAGCAGCTGACGAAAGGCGGCATTAATTGACTGTTGACATATCTGAATGAAAGCACAGTCAGCCAAAGGGTGCTGAGGGTAAATCGAGGGCTTCTTTACTTTTAGAGCAGTGTTTCTGCTTGTGTTAGCGCGCAGCTCTTTATGCTTCCTTCAAAAGGCTAAAATGCAGATGGCAGAGCCATCTGTGTAGAATCAAAACCATGCATTCAGACCTGAAGATCCCCATTAAAGTGCATGTAAATACATGGGAGGAGTCGGGGGAGGAGCAGAGGATGTAAAGAAACCCATGTTCAAAACAAACTGATTAACTTTACTCTTGAAGCTCTTTCCCCGCATAAATCCAACAGCACTCGAAACCACACGGACAAACCGAGGATTAGAAAACAAATGCGAGGAGCAAGTTCTTTTAGAAACCAAACACGAGTTTACAAAAGAAGAAAATCAATAAAAATAAGGTGTGGCGTCGATCTGTGAAACATTTTTGTGAATGGCGCCTTTAATTAATGTGCTGGCTCCATCAGCTCACAATTCAAAGAGGTTCCAGTTACATAGGAGACATTAATACGGAAGCTTCTGTGTCACTCCCGTCCAAATTAAATTAAATAAAACACTGAAAAGTGCAGAGAATAATTAATTTCTCTGGCTGTGAGGGCACCGGTTCCTCCTCCACCTATATTAGTATTAGTAGCTTGTTTTCGCTTTACAAGACGCCTCATCACAACAACGTTTCTCAAGGATCTGCAAAGAAAACACTCCCCCCCCCCTCATTTCCTGCTACCTGTGATCTCAAGACAGCTGTATGGTGAGGCCTTGGTCGTGCAGCGGAATCCACAAAAGTGAGAAACGCTCGTGTGACTGTTTCATGTTGCATTTCTGAGCAAACGGGCTGGATTCGAGCCTTGGCTTCAAGGCTGTGATGGAAATAAAAAGCACACTGTACATATGTCACAACACAATTAACAGCAAAACTAAGAGTGCATGCTGGAACATTTTGTGTAGTGACCCTGAGAGCTACTGTACATACCTGCAGCGTTCAGTACTGTAAATACAGAGCAGCTTTATTAAACACTTCATCAAGAACAAAACCTCACAAGTCCTTCGGTAAATGAAGCACTGCTTTCTAAGTTAGGCTGCCACCTCGGTATTGAAGCGTGCTCCCAGTTACAGGCCCTTTTTAGGCTCCCTAAACAGAGCGGTGTAAAAAATTTGTGATTGTTTTGGTTCCATTATTTCCAGTGTGAGGTTAATCCCTGAAAAGCTCCAGCAGCTGGCCATCACCACATTTGTGACACCCCACAGGAAGAAAACATGCTGTCGATTTTAAATTATGCACGTGCACATGCGTGAAACGTTTTAGGCACAAGACAAGGAAGCAGTTTAATAAAACACAATATAAACTTATGAGTAAATAGTCCCTCTATAACTTCTTCCCCTGGTGTAACTCGCCCAATCGTCCAATTGCTCTCAGCTACACAAGGAAAACATGCTTTGAACTAATTACATTTTTCTCTGGCCTTAAATATGTGATCTGATGTTCCTCTGCAGATTTGTGTGTCAAATCTAAGAGCCGTGCAGCTCCTTTAAAATCATAAGGACACAAAAATAAAAGTGGGGAAACGTTCACACTTTATTATGATTAGAGCTGTTGTACAAAACCAAGAGCGTAAAGTCATATTATTCCTTTATAGATTACCTAACAGAGCACATCACACCATAATCTTCTACGCAAGAGCTGGAGCTGTGACGCCACACTGCACGCCTGCTTTAATAAGATACGAGCCCATCCGGGATGCCCTCTGTTTAATATCTGAATATGTAAAGAGTCGTATGAATATGTAAATATGAATATGAGGCAATTCAGTGATGCATTGAGGCAGCTGTTGCGAGCTCTACACTTACAAGGAAACATGTGTTGGCCCTGCAGGGCAGGTTAGGGTGACAAGACAGGTGAGCGGAGAGGGCAGGCGTCATCTGTGATGTGTGGACAACACCTGTAAGCCTGTGACATGCCGAAAGGACGCGAATATACACAGAGACGTAAAGAAAAGGTGGGAATAAATGCAGAAAAACAAACTCAGAAACGCGGTTATTCACAAGCAGCCTTAACGCAGCAGCATTCATCATTTCCAGCTCTCCAAAGACTTGTATTTCTTATGAGTTCAATTATTAATCTCCTCCTACACTATCATTTGAAATACATGCTGCCTCTGCACTGATTTCACTCCCAATAACACACGGAGCATAATCCACAGTCCCCGAACAAGCAACGGGAACACAGAACTCAAATGATAGATGGCTTTCAGCGTATTGTAAATAAACTAATGAAGCTGAGCCACACAAACAGGTGTAAACGCAGCCTCGGCGTCTGCTGGCGGTTCATGTGCAATATTAAAGCATCATATGCTGGTTCAAAGGTCACTCTGCCTGCTGTTCATGAAAGCCACATGGGACTGTTTTCATTTAGGATTCACTCCTCAGCACACACACACACACACACACAGAACTGCTCAATTTTCCAATAAACTGATGGGAATTCAGAGTGAAATCAAAGGCTTGTGGCACAAGGCATGCACAAAGTCGTATTCGAGGAAGCTTCCACTAAGCACATAAGCGAGCCACATCTCTAGGAGGCTTAATCAATTGAATATGACACGGCAATGCATCAAAAAATACAAGAGAGTCTCTAAAGAAATTTGGCTTCTATTACAGATGCATGAGGTGCAGCGGAACAGCACAGCCTCCCAGGACCTGACAGTGTTTTTAGATTACAATTGCATCCCAGCAGGGATCCCTACACTCTTCTAACCTCAGACTGTTTAGTGCTTAAAAATAGCTAATGATGATAAAACATGGCTCTGATCTAAAGTGCTGTGATGCAAAGAGGGTCCAACTCTTTGAAAGACATGCTCCAGCTTAGCAGGGACATAAAGGAGAGAGGGCGGCAGCCTCCCATCCACGAGAGACAGGGGCATTTAAAAGTTACACTGGCTTTGTGTAGTGAGCTCAAATCCTGGAAGGATGCACAGGCAAGGAGGACGATGTGGACAAATAATAAGACACAGCAGAAATAAGCAATAAACGAAATTCTAATCATTTGTCCAATATTATGTGTTCACACAATAACAGCGCAGACTTCAGCCTAACGTTCCTCGGCGTCCTGCAAGAAGCAGCAGTTCAACATTCAGGCTCTGCTCCCCGTGACTGCAAAACTTTGGCCCCGCTCACTGAACTTTCCCTGCGTGGACCCGGCTTCACGCCTCGGGACCCCGCAGAGCAGGCAGCCCATCCCGCCCCTTGCTCCTGCCCCCTCCAGAGGAGCAGGAGCAGGCTCCTCTCCACGCGCGTGGAAGTTCTGATGCCGAGAGCCGCAACAAAGTATCAGGACGGAAAGGAAACGGCAACAGTGTCGCTCCCCACGAGTGACAGAAGTGTGCGCACGGCAGCCGTGTTTCAGACACAAACACGCAAACTGGAGCCACGAGCAGAGGAAAAAGTTTATCGCGCACCTCCGAGGGGGTCACGGGGAGGAGGGAGGAAAGAGTAGAGCGGCTCCTGTGAAATTACCCTCGCTACTTTACAAAGTTGTGCCGCTCGCTCCTCCGCGCGCTCACACACACACACACGGCGGCTCGGTCACTTACTTTTCTCGCGCCTGGCTGTCGGAAGGGACGACGGCTCCTTTACCTTTGGCGTACATGCTGCTTCTGTTTTAAGACTTTTGCCCCACTCAACACCTGTCAAAGAAAGCAGCCAGCAAAACGCTCCATCTCCATAGCTACCCCTTTAGTGTTTTTACTCCCCCCTTCTCCTCCCCCTCCTCCTCCTCCTCCCTCCTCCTTCTCTCTCCTCTCCCTCCCTCTCTCTCTCTTTTTTTTTTTTTTACATCTCCAACATTGGCCACAAATCAGGCACAGTTTCTACTGGGGGGGACTTGAAACCGTCCTCCGTTGGATTTTTTTTCCCCTCCTCAGCCGCTGTTCCGCAGGCCTGCTCTCCCTCCCTCTGTTAAGCAAACGGTGGGGGCTCCTTAAAGGGAAACACACACTTCTTGTTTGCGGACCGCAGGAGGAAAGAGGAGGGGGAGATGGGAAATGCACGCTGGCGAGGACTTTGCTCTGTGGAGCAAGGTTTTTTTTTCTCCTTTCTTCATCCCGTGAATTTAAATGTCAGTGCCCACTTCTAGCGCTTTCGCACCTTTACCTGTCGGTTATTTGTTTTAAACGTGGATTGTGTTAAAGATGGATGGAGGTGTTCTGAAAGGTGAACCCAAAGAGCAGCCAGCAGGGGGCGTCACCTCTGGTTATTTAAACACTGCTCGCTTTATAGAAGTCTATGGAGGGAAAGGTCGTCCATTACGTCCAAAGTAAACACTTTTTCATAGAGCTTTTGGGCTTAGTCCACAGTTTCGAGTCATATTGAATTAAGCATGATGTTCATTTTTTAAATTATGATCATTATTAATGTCAGACACTTTATGCAGGTGTGCTTCAGGGGGTGTTTTTCAACCCACGACATGGGCAATGATGAAAACGCTAAACTCAAAGCTTCATAACTCGAAGCTATCCAGTTGGTGATACCGCCACTTTTTAAACATCAATGGAAAGAACAAATGTGATGCTTTGATTTTCAATAACGGCACAAACAGTGTTGTGCTCTGGTCTAATAATGAGAAAACCAACAGAAATGCTTAGCTGTCTATTACTACTGCCCGTCACCCCTCCCAGGGTAAGAGCTGCTCAAGTTGGATCTCCAGAGATAGCCGTCTGGTGTTATAGAAATACGGTGTAAGTATGTTTTTAGAATAACTAGCAATCTCCTTCAGTGGATTATGTTTCGGAGTTAAATCTACCCCTCCATCTGAACCCGTTTAGCCCGATTAGCCCCTTCAGCACCATCATTTCCTCCTTTGCACGCTGGTCGTGAAGTTGCAGAGGAACAGAGGCACACCACGCACTTCGGCCTCTTGTGCACGCAGTAAAAATGAGACTTAATTTACTTAATGAACCTGAACTTGTGTGGAGGTTGGAGGTGTGGATTTGACTTTCCTTCAGTTTATCTTCCATTATAAATTCAATTCCAATTTAATTTCATATCAACTTTCATGCACACATGAAGCTCACAGTAGTTGAAGTAGTTAAAAATAGACGACAGGAAACAGAATTTAGTAAATTTGTACAACAGTGAATTTTTAGTTACCTAAAGCATACACTACATGGTCCAGTGTGCTGGGTCGCCTACACGTCACACCTACAGGGGCTGATCATCCGTGAAGCTCCTGGTGTACGGTTTCCATGATGGTAATCCCGCTGGAGGTTTGGAGCTCAGCTGATCTTCTCAGCACTCAGTGAAAGGGTTAGGGATAAGGGAGACTCTGGCATGCCAGAAGCACAATGCACAACCAGCTGGGCATAGTGTAAATATGCACTGCACGTGAAACTGCAGGTAACGGTCAATATTTAAGGTAGAATAAGGGACGAAACAATTTTTTTCATCATGCGTGATGTCCCAACTAAAACGGGACAGCTGGAAACCCTACTGTAACTCCTTGTGGTCTCCCAGGTTATGGTTGCTAAACACTTGCACTTTGCAATAATAGGGCAGTCGTGGAAATAAGAAAACCTATTGCAGCACCACTCTCTTTAGAACAATGAAGCATACTCTCACAAATGTTTCTAAGGGACATCTGAGAACACCTGAAGATTTAAAGGTGTGGTCCAGAACTTTTATCGATATGTTGTCCATCAAACTTCACCAAACCAGTTTATCTCCACGTGCAGATATCGCAGAAGCTGATCCTCTAATGCTGATGTTCTTGTCTTGTGATAAAATTCACTGCAAACTGTAAAGTTTACAGCTCTACTTCACTGTAACTCTAGATAAAAGTCATATGTGCCCTGAGTGTTCCTGATCTATGACTGAGTTATTGCATATTTTCAGTTTTTTTGTGATAGAAGCAACTAAACTTAAACTTCACCCTTACCCTATGTGTCTGCATGATAGCATTTGTGCTTTGTGTTTATTTGCACCAGGCTACCTCTGAACATCTTTAGATTAAAGTCGTGAACAGTGTTGGTCAAGTTACTTGAAAAAAGTAATCAGTAACAAAAATGCAATCCCGTTACTTTACTGATTGCTTATTTTCAAAAGTAATTAATTACTTAGTTACTTTTTAAAAACATGATTTACAACCTGAATAGGTGATAAAGCGATAGATCTTTCAGCCCAATTCTACTTTTTCTGCATAATCCATCATACAAAATGTAATCAAATGGAAAAGTCTCTTTTTAAAACTTGTTTTATTAGTTTTAACCCTTTAACTTTATGCATCAAGCAAAAATTAAATTATATGCAACATTCTCTGACTGGAAGAAATTTGTTTAACATTTAAACCTATTTTCTGCACATTCCAGCACATAAAATAAAATATTTTTTGTGTCTACACTCACTCTTTCAAATAGATGCAAGTAAAACACAGCAGAAAATAAATAAAATCAAAGACTCAGCGGTCCTGTTGCTCTATTTTCACCTGTAATGCAGGAGTGGGGTAGGCGGAGGTTTACCCTGATGCAGGTGTGCCACAGCCGTCAGTGGAAGAATCCGCGAGTTTCTCTGTGAATTTCCCATTACGTCGTAGCGCACTCGGTGCTTGCTCGGAAGTTTAGGGGTTTTTTTCGCTGTAAAAAGAAGTTTTCTTCCCACACACAACGGACACTAATGTTTTTGTCACTTTTTATGGGATCAAACTCAAACTAAGGTCAGTACTTCCACGCTTTAAACGCTGCACGCTCATACTCTCTCCCGCACTCGATATATTATCCATTGTTGATCTGCACACAGCTGTTGTCACAAACGTCGCACTCGCTTACGTCACTGTCGTGAGACATTCTCGCAAAAAAATCACGGTTTTAGTAACGCAGTAACGCAGCGTTCCTACGGGAAAGTAACAGTAATCTAATTACCGTTTTTGCAATAAACGGTAATTATTCGTTTATTAGTTTATTTACTTTACTCGTTACTTGAAAAAAGTAATCGGATTACAGTACTGCCCATCTCTGGTCGTGAACATAGTGTGACATTTTTAACTCATTCTGTGTTTGTGACTTTGATCACAGTGAAATAAACTTTGCTATAATGCACTCTCTGACACAAAGACAGAGAAAGTACCAGGCTCAGTGCAGTAAACACTGCTTGCACTGGTATGTTGTGAGTCGTGCTTCATATTTGTGTGCGTCCCATGGCATCTTTCCATTATTTCTGCACAGTCATGTTCAGGTTACTTTATTGTTACATACACCAGACACAACCATGTTTCAGGACAATAAATCAGAAAAGGGAGCGAGTCATCGGGTAATAAAACCTCTGTGCACAAGTGTTTGCAGACAAGTCAGCAATCTGCTAGCTAACAAAGCAGCCAGAAGGAGGCTTTTGCATCAGCGCCCTCTTTGTGAGCACTTTGACCCGGTGACAGCCAGCAACCATTCACCCACATCCATTTTCAGGGTTGCTGGCTGATTCTAGGTCTGCATGAGTGAGGGCTTATAGACATGCTGTGCACAATAAATAAGATAAAATAAGGCCCCTGTGGATTTGTCAGTGAGGAAATGTTGCCACCTAGCTTGTTTTCTATGATCTGTTATGGAAATGAACTCTGTGAGCGTCACCAGGGTCTTTCAGGCACAGAGTGCGTGTTGGCCGAGGGTCAGGTAGCACGACAGCGGTCAGCACATTATTACCTGTCCTGTTAAACCTTGTCATCACATGAGTCAGACCCTGATGTTGTTGAAGGTCATCTGAACATGTCATTAAAAAAGACTCTTTTTCACCAACTATCGATCTACGCTGAATTAACAAGAGGCCGAACCTTGAAACTGCTTGAACTGTGTTTACAGCATCCATCACTGGTTCGCACTGTCACAGAGAGGCAGAGCGCCGGGCATTTTTTCTTTTCACCGATTGTATTTCTACTTGTATTTTCCTCATAATCTTCCGAGTTCTTAACTCATGCACCTCTTTATTCACAGTTCTGACAAATTTGACTCCGAATGAGAAGCATTGTTGCCGTCTTGTCAGAGCAGATGTTACAAACAGCTCTGAGGTTTGCGTCACTGAATCTGGTTTCTCAGCAGCAAAAGATCTTTTGTCGTTCAGATAATTAAAGAATAAATAATGAAGGGTTTGTGTTTGGTTCGAGAAGCTGTGAGTTAATCAAGGGCGTTCTTGGTTATCACAAGGGAGACTTCAGCAGCGGCGTCCTGTGCCAAGTCACACTCGCTGCTCTGCACGGAGAGCAATCATCTTGCAGTCGGATCAAAGCTTCTACTGTATTTCACGTCTCGCACAAGGCCGCCGTCTCATGGCGAAATCTTTGGCTGGTTTCTTGTTAGCGAAAGCGGGATGGATTATTATTACTCTTTCCAAATCTGCCACCTCAGTGACCCAAGGGTAACCCCCTTCTTTCTCTGGGACTTACATATCTGACTCCAATTACAAAGCAGCTGTAGGGAGGTAGCATGTTATTCCGTATCACTGAGTGTGATCAGCTCAGTATAACAGCTCCTGTGATTAGCTGCTAGATCCTTTAAGTAAGTCACATTTGTGGCGTTTGTTACCCAAGCGTAAAGGAAGGATGTACTTTTGATCTTTTATATCCTGTAACATGCTCACCTATCATGCTGGCTAACTGCACAAGGTGATCTGTGCATTATACCGTAAACAGGAAAAAGTTTTCCTGTTTTCACAGGATGGATAGTAAATAAATGAATGAAATTAGTGGGCTGAGCGTTTAATTTAAATGTGTAAAACTGTAATTTGAAATTATATCAACATAAAAGTAGCATGTCG